GGGTTTTTATCTCTGAAGTCCTTGCTTTCTCACACACAGATTATATCTGCCACAGTGACAATGACCCCTTGCTTTCTATTATGCATAAATTACTCTGCTGGATGTTAAAAATTTATCATATGTCTGTGATGACAAATAATTTATTACTCTAATATGCTTATTTTAATGTGACTTTTCCCCAATTGGCAATAACCTGCCTTTCTCAAAAGTACAGAGCCAAGATCTTACTTCATGGGGGTGGGGTAAGCAGCTGGCTAAAACATTCTTCCTGTTGGACTGTTGGTTTTTTCTGGGTTAACTATCAAACTAGACTTTGAAAATAGAGTTTTCTTTCCCCTATTCTTCAGTGACTATTTTTTTTAGTTGACAGAGGGGAGATATCTGAAACTAAGAAAGGGGACAGGGGCTTGGGGCTTTAAGGAGAGAGGAGGGAGACCCACACTAAGGGGAGGGTCACTCAAATACCAAAGACCAGCCACTCTGTAATGAAAGTTTGCCTCCTAGATAGTCTCTCCAATACAAATGTTATCTCTGGTAAAAAGCCTGATTATGAATAAGACCTTCAATTTTATCCTTCTAGGTAATTAAGGGAATGGCATAAGTTTCTGATGAGTCTGCAGGGCCTGGAATGACCTTACCTCAAATGTATCTACATGCAAAAGTGATAAACCTTGAGAAGTCTGTTCTGGATATCTTGGAAGGCTTATCCTCTACTAGGCTAGCCATTATGAAGTATCATTTATGTAGTTACAGTTATCTCAAATCCATGATCTTCACCTTTCTTATTTATAAGGCACACTGTCCCGTTATTAGCTTGCAACTCACTGGTCTCCAGGTATTTACCCACAGGCCAAGCATTGTGAATTTACTTTTTCTCTACAGGCTTATCTGACCTTTGTTACCTCACCCATGCAAACTGAAAGTTTGAATTCTAAAGTTTGAGTTCAGTTTAATAAAGAGAAATTTATTTAAGTAGTTTTTCAGAGCCAAACTGAGGATACTGGCCTGGGAGAGCAATGTCAGATTTCTCTAAGTGACTGGTTCCCAGCCTCAGAATTTTTGGCTTCAGTTTTTTAGGTAATTTATATGCCCAGAAAAAGTATATGTTTTCTTTTATCAAAAAATTTATCTAGTTAATTTCTAACATTTCCTGTGAACTACAAGAGTTTGGTTTTTAACAAGTTTGGTTAATGGATAAAGAAGAAACACTGTTCATAACTTTAAAGGAACTAATTTTTCCAGAACTGTGTGTACTGGGGAAAGTGTAAGGACCAAAGTTTATTTAGTTCTCATGAGTACCCCTATAAATGCGAACATGCAGTCTGGTGATTATCTCATGCTTCTTCTTCCTGCAACTCACAAACATCACAGGGACTTGGTCTGTGGACTTTTCAAATATTTTCTTTGTTTTCTCTTTAGGTTTCTTCACAGAAAAGGAGCCATTATTCTGCTGACTCCAGCCCTGTCAGGGCACAAGTGAACAGTTTCCATGAGAGCAAATGTAAAATTTTCCTTTATTGATCCACACCCTTGACTGTTTTGATGAAGTACATTCCAACAGAGAGCACAAAACTCACTAGTCACAGTCCTCCTTGGCACGTAACAATAAATATTGTTATATAACATACAAACTCAGTGTTCTGAGCACAGGGAGTGGTAATGACACAAACCACAAAGTAGTGCTACGGAGGAAGCAGGAAAACTAATTTGCAGTTGAAGCTAAAATTCATATATAAAATCTCTCATTTCCTCTTGTCTCCATGAAGTTCGCCAACAAGGTTCTTGTAGGTTAAGTTAGGAGATCTTTAAAATCTCTTGAACTCTCAAAGTAGTGAGTAGGTAAAGGCAGTACTGATTATTTTTCAGGAAAGACAAGGAAAAGATCTTAAGCTGGAAGACTCTGACTGAAAACTATGTTCACCTGGCTCACCCAAGGTTTACAAGTCTTAAATTAGCTGCTAAAGATGAAAAAACAGAAAAAAAATCAACAGATTAGTTCACTATCACTGTTAAGTCTTTCTAAAAAAATCAAAAAACCTGTTTGCATTGGACCTGCACATTTCTTTGTAGAAGAAAATATTAATACCTATATTAATTGCTCATTATACTTGCCAGTAAAATGATTGATATGCAAACTATCTGCTTACTCATTTATTTACCAGCCAAGTCCCTGAAAGTATCTAGGATTTGATGCTAAAGGATTTCAGTAATTTACATAAGAGTCAGTTTGCAATGTGAGTCAGTCCTTTAGCAGATACAAAACTCATTAAATGATTAGCAAGGTAATTCAACAAAAGTTCTGTGAAGAATTCATGCTTCAAATATCTGAAGATGACATTTTCTTTTGGAAGGAAGTGTGAGTAATAAACAGTGGCATTAAGGCTCTATTTATACTTAAAAAATAAAAATAAAAAAAGATAGTAAAGCTTTACCTTCTGACATCTACACACAAGACAATGGAATGAGCCTGGTCACTGCAGTTCGATATAAAATGTAAACTTTAAATATGTGCATGGGAATTTTGGCTATACTTCCTTGTAGCTTTAAATATTTTTTAAGCACTCAACAGACAATTGGACTAGGAAGTTTGGTATAGCCCAACTATGGAACACTATTCAGTGAGAAAGATGAAATGCAGTAATTTTCAGAAAGATGGAGGATAATTATGTATAGTAAAACAACAATAAAGTTGCTTTTATCAGAATGATAAAAACAAATACTGGATTTAAAAAATTTATTATTTATTTTTATTTTTTTTAATATAGTTTATTTTTACATCATTTTGTACATTTTTTTTTATCTCAATTGTAATCCCCGTGGTTTTCCCATCACCGAGTCACCCATGTGCCATCACCATAGTCCCGTGCACTTAACAAATACTGGATTTTACATAGCAGATGGCTTGATTAAAGTAAACTACTTACAAAAACTAGTGGACATTACTAAATAACATGAGGATTCTGAGGTTAAGAGAATGGGGGAGGGCAAGAAAGGGGGACAGAAAGGGATCAGAAGGAGAGAGGAATGTGGGAGCTATGGTGATGACAGGTGGGGGATAAAATGCACCACAATATAAATATATACATAAATAGAAAAAAAGAGTGAGGGGAGGGAAAAAATGCATTGATTTATTACATAACCATTTTGTTGTGAGTGACCAACTTCATGTCCCCACCTGCATGGTGTGCTTTCATTGCCGTTTAATAGACAAAAGACACCACATTGTTTTAATTTGATTTTTCCATGTTAAGAGTGTTGAATATTTTAGTGTATCTTAATTCTATTTCTTAGTGCTAAAATATGTCCAAATACTTTTTCACTAAAGTTGATAATTGAGTTTACTTGTGGAAATAAAGTACACTTTTCCCCCTAGAAAGCATGTAGGATTGTTAGGTTGGGTGGGGGAGGTTCATTCTAGGTAGAATAAACAGAAGAAAAAATTTAAGCTATTATTCATTTTGTTTCCATTTTGTTTCCCTTAAAAGTCATATTATGACACTGTATCTGAATAGATCTCTGTTGATTACTAAACTCAGTAATAGGAGAAAAGGGCATAATAAGGCAAATGGTTGAAAATACAGATGAGACTGGACTAGCTTAGAATGAGTCTTATATTTTGACTAAGGTGTTTGGAATTTACAATATAAAGGAAGAGCAGTTATAACACCCTGAATATGCCAGCTTAGCGAAAAGGTGATTTTGAGTTGAAGTCAACTGAGAAAAAGCAGAAACAAGAAAAATTCTCTTTTTCCCTAAAAGCAGGCCATAAATCGCCAAAGGTGTTCCTCCTCCCTCTGCCAGGATTTTTCCCTTGAGACAACATCAATCCCCATTAGCTCCAAAAAGGCATAGAGGAACTACATAATAAAATGTTAAATAGCCTTTATCATAGCTCATGAAAGCCTAAAGTCACATTCTTCTGTGCGATCATTTCTCTGTAAATTTATTATTCTTTGTTGAAGATGCTATATAAACTTGAACTCTAAGCTACATTGGGAAGTTGTTTATTTTCCCCTGGGTATTTTCACACAATTATACATTTTAAATACAAAAATCTAAAGAACAAAAACAAAAGACATTCAAATTGGAATAAGAGTAGTAAAGCTATCTTTATTTTTAGACATGATGGTCATTGCTGGAAGTACTGTGTAATATACATGAAAGTTACTAGACCAAATAATTGCATTTCTATAGATTTGTAATAAACAACAGGAAATTAAGATCTTTTAAAGTATTATTTATAATAACATCAAAAAATAGGAAATTTTTAGGATAAATCTAAGAAGGTTAAGATACATATACTAGAAACTACAAAATCCTGCTGAAAGAAATTAAAGAATAGCTAAAAATAAGGAGAGATATATTATGTATTGGAATAGTCAACATTGTGGCGATGTCAATTTTCTCCATGAGAAAACATCCTTTAACAAGTTGATTAAGCTTTGTTCAACTTAAAATCTGTGATCCAGGCCCTCCCTGGTGGCACAGTGGGTTAAAAGCACAGCACTAAAGCTAAAGCCACTTCTGCATGAGTTCGATTCCCGCCTGTCCCGGAGGTGACCACATGGCACTGGCAGACCTCTCCTGAACCGCCCGCTGCTCCTCTCAGCAGTGTACTTTGTCCATCTGCCTGTTCTGCTCCCCACTCTGTTCCTGGTGAAGCCTCTCACCGCCCCTGTGCCTCTGGCCTGTACCCCAGTGGTGTATGCACAAATAAATAAATCTTTAAAAAAATTAAAAAAAAAAAATCTGTGATCCCATTCAGCCTTCCATCTTTCTATTTGAAGCATTTCTAAACTTGCAAATTTAGCATGCAAAATGTCTTTTAGTTAGTGTCAGAAAAGGAGAAGCAGAGTATTTTTCATTTTAGCTAAACTTTGAGTCAAATGGATCAGGATTCATTTGTACATCTGCAGGAAGGAAGAGAGGAGATTTACCCTGATAAAGTCTTATCTCATTAAATTTCTACGTTGAACTCTTAGACCCAAGGGATTTTCTTATTAATAAAATATAAGGAAAGCAGCCAGAAGAAACATTGGAAATGAAAGAATTTTCAGCAAATTGTGAAAGGGTTGGGGTCTCTGAGATTTACTGACAGCTCTTGTTCTGGTTGTCTTTATTGTTCTGTCCCATTGGGTCAAGATGGCGTTTCGGGCCCCCTCCCATTTTCCCGGTCCCATCAGACGGAACTGGTATGGACTGCAAGGACCAAAGTAGACCTCCAGGCCCAGCTGGGGGTCAGTCAGGAAGAGCCATGGTATGTTAGGCTTGGCCCCTATGTAGGAGCCCAGCTCATCCATGTACGAGATATAATCTGTCTGCAAAGTCTGGCTTTGTCCAAACCTGGGGAAAGAAAAGAATATATTGGAATGAGTTTCACAGTTGCAAAAAGTATTCCAGTCTAGTCCTCTAATGATTTTAGAGGTTTTGAATGTTGAAGAAAATAATCAACCCCAGCCTATATGAGGGAAACCTACAGTATTCCTGGACCTACTTTCATTATAGATGGCTTCGCTTAAAGTCACAATTTCCAAGAACCTATTGAATTTATGTGAGAATTTGCTATATCCTTATTTTCTATCTCAAAAAAAAATATTGAGTCAGTTATTTCAGTAATATAACAACTCCTCTCTTTTTTGTACATTATTGAATTTATCATGAGTTCATTTTTTTCCTCTCCTCCCTAATCTCTATTTACGTTTGATGTCACTTTGTTCTTTTGCCTCTGATGATGTGGTTCTAGAATCTCAAGTGAACTGTAGTTTATAACACATGTTTGTTCTTTCTGTAACATTGCTTAGCATCTGTCCCAATGTCAGATTTTTGTAAAAATATGTTTAAAATTGGGCTTATATATGGTTCTACTTTTGTTGCAATTCCTAATATAAATTGACTCATACTTTTAGTTGGAGTGTGAGTCCCTTTGCACTTAGGAAAATTAAAGAGAAGACTTACTGCCTACTGAAGCAATAATATTGATGTTGAGACCTCTATTTTTCCTCTTCTTTATTCTTGTTCACCTCCAATCTAAATAGTAGTAAGTGGAGAGTGCTGCTTGCATTGTAGTCCATAGAGTGCCCACTTCACAAAGCTGAGCTATGAATGAAGGAGGTGCAGGCGAGGTTTTGTTGAGTCTCAGGAATTTGAATCTTCTCTACTCTAGACCATTAGCAAGTGATTACCTTGGAGTAATCAATGAATGGTGTGCTAGAAGCTTGAGAAGAAGGAAATTTCCTATGTAGTTCCTTATTTATCCACATGTGATCCATATCTAAGTATCCTTTCAACAGGTTTTGAAAAATAAGTTGCAAAGGATTTACTTTCATTAAGTAATGAACACGAAAAAATACATTTAAATATCTGATATCTAGCCACCAAAATGACCTTCTACAAATTCCATTATGATATAGTTAAAAACATTTTTGAATGAATTAGGTGGTTTCTTAGTAGAAAATACAAAGGTAGGTGAATTCTTTCTTCATTTGGCTTTCTGATCACAGCACTGATACTTCTTAGTTTCTAGCTAGTTTACTTGCTACAGACTTGTGTCAGATGAGAAAGAAACTCTTGGGGAAAGCTTGGAAATTGTTTTGAAGCTCAGCACCATGGACATTTTGAATGAGATAATTTTTTGTTTAGGTACATTGCCCTCTACATTTAGGATGTTTAACAGCATCTCCAGTTTCTACTCATTAGAAGTGCTCTCCAGACTGCCAAATGCCCCTGAGAGGCAAAATCTTTTCCATTTGAGAACCTGGGCACTATTGTCAGACAGGAGAAATGCAAATAACATGAATTTTCCATCTAATACTGCTTGATTATAGCACAGTTCTAAAACTGTGAACTTTGACTACTGACAATATTATAGAATATATTAGTGTTTTCCTACATAAAAGGCAAATGTCAGGATTTGTTTCACTAGAAAGTATGATCTCTTACCACTTGAGTTTCTTTCCCATTTTCTCATCGATGTCCTCTATCATTTCAGTTTTACTTGGCAAGACACATAAATCTGGAAAGGAAATGAGAGAAATGTTGAAAGAGACAAAGAAGTCAGAAATGTATAATGACACATGATGAATTTCTTTCAGTGCTTGTAGACTATACCCCTAAAAGACATAGTTCCTTTTGTATCAAGAAGAGATATCTTTCATATCTGTAGTGAAATAATAATTCACAGAAACAAAGACCTGAGAAGTTAATGAATCCATTTCAGGAAAAGCAAAGCTAGGCATCAGCATTGTGATAGTGGAGAAGTCTGGAGCTTCAAACTGTACAATGTCATTCTCTCATTCTATGGAAGTTCTAGTAGGTGTTTAATAAATATTTGCTGAATCAAATAATTGATATCCTTTATTTCAAGTAAATTTCATGAGTTAATTCAATGTCCCTTTAAAACCTTAGGTACTTGGCATGGTGTGCCTTCAAGAGAAAAAAATACAATAGGCATATTTTTGCAGGGAGTCAGTCTTATAAAGGTTTATTACAAGCTTTATTTAAGTAGTGCTCCTTCCACGTACCTTTGAAATAGATGTCTATCTGTTCTCAGCATATTTTGAAAATATATAAACTCTATAATTGTAGCATTTTCTTCATACTTATTATCTAGTTCCATGGACAATATGTTAGGAAAGGCATTGGCCAAGAATGCAATTCCTTGACTAAAACAATGTTTTAACACAACAATTGGAGTGAATTAAGTACTATTTGGGATATTGCCCTTCTCACAGTAATCCTCATATTCTTGATTTCTGCACATAAGCATATTTGTAGCTCCTGGAAACTACGGTGTCTAGGGTAGAGGACTGGGGAGTAGACTGTGGGTAGAATAAGAGTGGCCAGACATTGATATTCTAACATGACACAAATGATTGTGGTACCCAAACACATCAGGGTTCTGAACTTCCACAATACACTTGAAGTTGCAGTGACACACTGCTGTCTCTCTCTTTTTTTATTATTTTTTTAAAGATTTATTTATTCATACAGAACTGGGGTACAGGCCAGAGATGCGGAGGGTGAGAGGCTTCATCAGGAACAGAGTGGGGAGCAGAACAGGCAGATGGACGAAGTACACTGCTGAGGGGAGCAGTGGGCAGGTCAGGAGAGGTCTGCCAGTGCCATGTGGTCACCTCCGGGGCAGGCGGGGATTGAACTCATGCGGAAGTGGCTTTAGTTTCTTAGTGCTGTGCTTTAACCCGCTGCGCCACCAGGGAGGGCCCTGCTGTCTCTCTCTTGCTTAAAGCCTTGCAAAAAGTTCTTTAAGACAGATTGTGAGGCCCTCCATGTTCTGATCCCTTTTTCCATGTCTTGTCTTTCCTGCCTCCCTGTTTTGTTTTGTTTCTCTTACACCAAAATATTTTTGGCTCCTCATACATCTTTTTGTTTTTTCTTATGCTGCCAACTCCCGTCCCCAGAAAACCCTAAAGCTGCTCCTATTGTGACATTCCTTGCCTTATTTTAAGTTATATGATATCAAGGAGCATGTCTGTTTTGTTCCCTTATACCTATAGTACCTAGCACAGTGCTTGCAATAGTGTTCAATAAGTGATTGTTGATTAAATAAATGGAAGAAATAATGGCCCACCTACTTGCAAATACTTTAGCAGCCCAGCGGGCCTGCATGTCCGTGGTGGGAATGGCAGCCCCCAGGGACTGGACAAGGCCAATCACTGCCATGGTTGACTTCTCCAGGAAAGGAGGGAAGATGCCTTTAAACAAGGTGACCTCGTTGTTTCTGCTTTTGATGATGGAGTCATCAAGGAAGGGGTAGGCATAACCATAGCCTGTTGCAAAAATTACACAATCGATGGCCTCAAATACAGTCCCATCTTCAAACACAGCTGAGGTGGCTGTGAACTCCTTCACGTTAGGCTTGATGAACACCTTGCCACACAGGATCCGGGATGGAAGTTCATCATTGAACACAGGCTCTTTGCGCAGAGGACTGTGAAGCAAAAGACAAGAAAACAAAGAGACTAGAAGTAAGAGACAATGGGCCTTGCTGCCAAGTACTTCCTTTCCAAGAAATATTTATAGAATAGTCAAAATTGAGTAGTTAAACATCAACATGAGGGCCATGATGTCTTTTCTTTGGAGCAATGCCTTGCTAAGGCCTGTGACAATCCTTAGGAACTCCTGCCTGACTGGCCTTTGTGGCCCCATGTAATTTAAAGATAGGTACATAGACAGTTTGGAAATTCACCAGCTTGACGAGAATAAAACTAATTCCTAGACATATTAAAATGATTTAGAGAGTTGTCTCTGGAGACAGATGGTCCAAGTACAATATAGTTCCATTTCTTATTAGCAGCTATTCCCCTGTGTTGGCTTTTTTATATGGAAAGTGGGGGTGATGATAGCATCTGCCATATAAGGCCTTGTGAGAGTTAGATGAGCAGTGATCTATAAAGCACTTAAAACAAATGCAAATACAAGTATCATTATTATCTGTGACCTATTATACTTGAAAGTCTCATCTTACACGAAGAACTCTGTTTTGCTGTTGTGGGATGTTTTATTTCCATGTTTGCTTTCCTTTTATCAGCCATGGTCATAGTAGAAAGCATCTTTGATTCTGCCTATCCATTGCCAAAATTCTAGGAATGAAATTTTTTGTTGGATGACATTCTTTGTTTTGATGTGAGTTTCACTCGGGGATTCTGGAATTTCCTTCAAATAATAAATAACTATAAATCTTAGAATTATCTATGTTTCCACACTGTTCACCAATTTCTATAATTCTGTAACCTCTTGTTTTTCTTTTCTTTTCTTTTTTTTTTTTTACCTTATTAGGTAGACAGAAACTTGTTCACATTGAAGCTTTTTTTGTCCTTGCCTTCCTCACTCTCCCAAAGGAGAAGTAAGAGGGTGTCAACAATACCTTAGAGTAATTAGAACCCTTTCTTTCTTGGGAGGGAGTTTAATTTTTAGAATGAATGGATTTCCAAACCTATTTTTTTTAATTGTCTAAAAGGCAAAGCCAAAATATAGCTTGAAATTATTCCTACAAGACAAAAGTCTTAAGCAGCTCAGGGCTTGGAAATGCCACATTTAACATATTTTGTAAAATTTAAACAATTTTACATGTATGAATGAACACTTTTTCTTTTAATACTATAGCAATGTGCTAGACTAAGGAAAATAAACGTGGAGTGAGGGTTTGGGTTTCAAACCTGGCACTTGTTCTAGTTATGTTTCCTCTTACTTTGTCTTAACCTGTTTCTTGAAAAATAAAGCATTTTTGCTAGCATAGACCAAAAGGTGATATTTCTTAGTGAATCCTTTATTTTATTATCCATTTAACTGTTATCTTTTTTCTACCAATATAGTGGTTATTCTGGCCCAGAATGCCTTTCTGATTAATAAGTGTTAAATTCTGTCTCTACAGAGTAGTACATAAACAAGTCTTATTAATTTTACGGGCTATATCAGTTCTGTGAATCTTCATTGCCTGACATGTTCCCTGCCTCCTGAGTGTTTTGCAAAAAAAAAAAAAAAAAAAAGAATTAACCCTCCATGTAGAAAAAATGTGCACATTTGTTCTGAGGCTTCCTATTTGCTGAGGCATATCATTAACATTACTTTGTTGGTTGTTCCTTGGAGGTATATTAGAAAATCTGAGACTAATGAGAACCAATATTACTATGGTTATATAGTTTACAAAGTAATTCTTATAGAGTTTGCTTTCTATCTTAATGAACACCACAGCAGTCTTGCAGAGTAGGTATTATTATTTCTACCCTCATTTATTCATTAGTGTGGAGAAGAGATTTCTCAAAGCCACACTTTGAGAACTCAAATTTCTACGGTCCAGCTTATAGCTACCATGAATGAATCCAAAAGCGAGGGTGCTCTGCTTGCCTGATTCATCACCGTTTTGTATTCTTCCGTAATCCTTTCCCACTTGACTAACTTTAACAATGTTTTCACCCCAAGCTTGGTCTCTGAGTCTGTTGTATTATATATTCATTTCTTTAACACCACCAGCCTCAATAGGACAACTAAAGTTAGATTGAGAGAGAAAGAATTCAACTTAAGCCAGTGTCCTACTTCTTTGAATGATAGAATATGGATTGTAGTAGTACCCATTTAGAGGCATTAGGCCATAGTTCTCATGCTTAAACCATGTGTTCATCTTCTTGACATATAACCAGTCAGAGATAAACGAAGGAAGGGCAGTCCGCAGAAAGGTTGCAAAGCGGGTAACATGCACCATGTCCCAAGGATAGCCATCATCCCAAACCCGGCTCATGACCCAGGAACCACTTCTGGTGCTGATAATGACCTAGTGGGGAGAGGAAACATGGATGTCAAGATCATTCTGGAAGAAATAAGCAAATATGATGCAATTTTATGGATATCTCCATATATTTCTTTCAGTATCCCTACACTTTTTTTTTTTAAAGATTTATTTATTGATGCATACAGAACTGGGGTACAAGCCAGAGGCACAGGGGTGGTGAGAGGATTCACCAGAGACAGAGTGGGAAGCAGAACAGGTAGATCGACCAAGTACACTGCTGAGGGGAGCAGCAGGCAGGTCAGGAGAGGTCTGCTGCGCCATATGGGTCACCTCCGGGCAGGGGATCAACTCACACTGAAGTGGCTGTGGCCAGTTTGCAGTAATACATCCTAATCCAATGTACCAGCAGGGAGGGCCCAACCCTACACTTTTTTAAAGAGATGAGTAAGATGTATAGTCCATGATTAAAACTATTATATAGGCAGAACTACATTCTCATTCCATTCCAGAGAGCTAGTACATAAATGTAAGAATAAGAATGCATGATGTCTGTAGCTGAGAGTAAGTGGGAAGGATGCCAAGGATTTAATTCTGTTCTCTGTCTCTGGTTTTCTTTGTTCAGTCCTTTCTGTATGTCCACTCAGCATCTCTGCTGTGGACACTCCAAGCCATGGTAGTTGCCTCTACCCTGAGACAAGCTCAGTTGTTTTTCTATTTTACCACCTTTGTGGTAACTCAAGGGAACTTTACTTTTAAAGAATAGTTAAACTTTATTTACATTCACTCACTTAAATAAATTCATGTATTTAATCAGCCAACTATAGATCAGAGACATTCTGAGGGGAAGAGGAGGGAAAGGACCAGGACAGGGGTGAGAAGAGCACAAGGACTGTGGTGATGGTGCAGGTACAAAAAGGAAGAATGATATAATGCATATATTTTAAGAAATTTTAAAAACAGAAAAATTAATGTATTGAGCACACATTTCCTTAAAAATGTGTTAAGCTTCTTTAGGGTTTACTGGTCATGTATTACTCAGCTTGGAGCCTTCTGATCCTTCCTTGATGTCATCCAATCTGTCAGGTTCTCTTTTCACAGTGCTGTCACTGTCACACCAATGTCACTGCAGTCTTATCACCTCCCTTTGATAATGTCTGTGTGTATCTGCCAGCCCACTGCTTGAAATTAGGAAATGGTATGATTTATTTCTGAACATACTAAAAAAATCTAATATCTGTTTAGTGCCAGTTGTTGAATGGATAAGCAATAAAACAAAAACAAAAACCCAAATCGTGTGTGTTTTTCAAAACTTTGGATGGTAAGCACAGTGCCCTTTATTGATAGATAATAAGAATACTGTTAAATCATCTTACACTTGTTAGGAATATAAATTAGTATAAAAATTACAGAAAATAGTGTGGAAGTTCCTCAAAAATTAAGAATAGAAAAAAAACCCCAACATATGAGCCAGAAAAATATACTGCTGAATATTTATCCAAAAAGCTCAAAATCACTAATTTAAAGAAATACACATACTCCCATGTTCATTACAGCACTATTCAAAATGGCTACGGGTTGGAAATAAACTAAGTATTATATTTGTGAAAAATGATGGAGAAAGAACCGTTGTATTATGTCATTCATATGTGGAAGGTAAAGTAACAAAACGAATGAATGGAACAAATTCCTATACTACAAAAAAAAAATTAATTATGGTGGTTATCAAAAGGAAAAGGGGGAAAGAGAAAGGGTAAATTGGACAGGATCAGGAGTGTGGTGTTGGATGGAGATTATGCTTTTGGTATATACAAATGTTGATAGATATAAGTCTGTGTAACCTGAAACCTAGATAAAGTTATAAACCAATGTTATTTCAATTTCTACAAAAGGAATAGTTTGTACAGGCAAATCGTTTGATCAGAGCTTAATATTAAAACAAAAAATGCACTCTTGGTTGTACACACGCACACATTTTCCTCGGATCGCAGCAGCACACACTTCCTCACCAGCATAGGCAATAGTAGCTTGCTTCATGGGGAGAATGTCTTATGTTATCCTTGATCTACTGGGCATGTGCACCAGGTGTTTCTCTTGTGGTGGAACCTGATGAACACCATTCTCAGTGCCTGAGAAGTTGCTTTAGCAGCATACCTGTACTCTCAGTTTGTTTCTCATGATATTTTAGGTCACATACCTGTGCAGCCAGACGACTAATTTCAACAGCAATGTCAGATCCTGAGTTTCCCAAGCCAATCACGAGGACCCTCTTCTCCTTGAAGGTTTCTGGGCCTTTATAGTCCCGGCTGTGGAAGTAATGACCTTGAAACTTGTCTAGGCCTAAGTGGAACATGGGGAGTGACTTGAACTGATTTGCAAGAGAAACAATGAAAACTCATAATTCTAAAAATGTTCTTAGTCTCACTTTTTAAAAAAAGATTCCTCATTGAAATATATTTATTATTTTAGTGTTTTTTGGGCACTAAACTCCCAAATAATTACTTTTAGTGCCCTAAAATAACCCAAGATATGGTCATTTGTGTTTCAATAATAATAATAAATAATAGTAGTAATAACTGCGGGTGAGCTAAAAGATTTGCATGCTTTAACCTTTTAATTCTCTGCTTGGTAGGTACTAATGTTTCTATTTTTAAAAAGGAAATTGAGACAAAGTAGTTAAGTTATTGTCTAAGTTCATACAGTAAGAATTTAGTAGAATAGAAGTTGAGCTTAGGTGTTCAAAGTCCATACTCAAAATTCCCAAATATTCATCTTCTTAACATTAATGGCTTTAGTTTTATATTCTTCTTGAATCTCTACTCTTTAAGATCTTCATTGGATCTTTACTTACAGGTCCTTGACTTTTAGAATAAAGGTTTGGAGGTCAATTATTGCTATGCCATATTATCAGACTTAAAAGTATTGTTTTTGAAATCTTTGGATCCTTAAGAAAAAATATGTCCAAGCCATGGAAAGATCCTTTTTACCCTGTATGTATGTATGTAATCCCTGAGATTATTATATATTTCCCAAACTTACCAGGAAAGGAATCAGTTGGCAGATTGGGGTATACGTGGTGTCCTGAACAAATCATGACAGCATCGAAAATAGAGGATTCCTGTTTTCCATCCTTTTCTGAAACAACTTCCCATTGGCCAGTGACTGAGAAATTTGGGCATTTCTTTACATTAGTAACCAGGGTCTTAAAAAAAAAAAAAAGGCGGGGGGAGGTTCTTTTTAATTCCATTGCTTTTTTTTTTCTAGTAGCATTTCTAGGGAGGAAATAATGGTTATGAGATTTCCTAGTCACTGAGAAATATTTGGGAGATATTAAAGTAGGCATCACAGTGCATCTTCAGTGAATTTTCAAATATTAAAAGGAAAATGGCTCACTGGGAGTATATTACTCTTGGACATCCAATTAGTAGGCCTGGGCTAGATACCACTGAATAGTCCTATGCTTACTGTCACCCTCTATTGACAATTGTGCCTTTTTCCTTCTCTGACCTCAATGGACAACTCAATAAATATAGGATTGTCTCAGGATCCAACCTTAGTGTCTTCTTTTCTCCAATAGATTCTCTTCCTTGCAAATACTAGACACTTTCATAATGTGAATATTATGTAAATATATGTAAAATCATGTAAATACTATTGCAGTTTTTTTTGCTGATTATTTTTCTTATTAGATATATGTGCTGTGCATTTCACAGTAATGAGTTGAGGTTAAGAGTTCCAAAAAATACAAAGTACTGCTATTATTAACAGAAATATCGCTGCTGTGCCATAATTCCTGAGACTTGTAGTCTGAAGAAATGCAGTAGGTAAAAGATGAAGTCAATGACTTCTCAATTGTTCATTCAAGTTGTTGCTTTCTTCAAAATGTGGCATTCTACTAAATCCACAACTCATTAACATTGAACCCACAGAAGTCTAAATATGGACTAGAGGATTTTGGATTGTATCTAAAATATGAGTATGAGAATGGATAGCACACCACGGCATATAGCTGTCTCCACATTACAAAATGATTAAAAAATCTGAGACTAGTGGAGAACACCTTCAGAGCAGAAAACCACGCATGAATTCTTTATAATCTGAACCAACATCTGATTGGTGAGGTGTCGAAATATTTGGCTCTAATTTCAATAGAGCACTGTAAGCTTGCTTCCCCTCTAACCCATACATATATTGGTATCAACAGCACCATCATGAGGTCCTTACCTCAAATTGTATGTATCTTAAAAGATTCTTCTTCTGTGCAAATGTCTTTATGTATTCCTGGAGCTTGCTGTGGTGCATGTAGTTGGGGAAATCATCAGGGTAGGGGAAATCTGGAAAGCACATCATCTCCTTGGAAGAATTGGTGAATACAGACTGGTAAATGCTGGCTCTGCCTTCTTCAGCTTGGTCCTAGGAAGAATAACAAAACTTAAAAAGGAAGCAAAGTTTGGTGTTCTAACAGTTTTCAGTGAGGCCTGGAAAGCAAGCCTGGTGTGAGCAGCCGGCTCAGAGCCATTGTACTTAGTCCTCTTACTATAAATACTTATTTAGCTCTGTGTTTATAGTACTGTAGCATTTTCTTTCTTTACCCAATCATAGCAAAGGTTTGAACCCATAACCCTGCTTGAAAAAACAAAACACAAGAGCCTGATGGAGGCTTTTACCTTAAATACAGTAAAACCTTACTTAACATCCTCGATAAATTCTTAGAAACTGAGACTTGAAGCAAAACACATTTAACAAAACCTATTTGACCATAGGTTGATTGATTAAAAACAGGAGTTAAATTCTTACAGCATATTTCTGACCACAAAAACCTTACCAAACTTCTAAATAAAGACCCACAACACATCCAGTATTCATTAATCATTAGCATTCACTTATTCATTCATTTCCCAGCCCACTTAATCCCACTTTTCTAACAGCTTAGGCCACTAGCAGGTTCACCCATGGAGAAAACACCTCTCTCTCTCTGAGGTCTCACCCTCATACTGGTGCCACTTGTGAAAATTGGAACTCACCAATGAGCCTCACATGCATATCTTTGGGATGTGGGAGGAAACTGGTGTCCCTAAGGAGACCTATGCGACATAAGAAGAATGTACAAACTCAGACAGGGGCCCAGACAGGAACCTTTAGAACGTGTTGAAGGAAATGATGTTGATGATTTAAATGGTTTTATTTATGTTGGCTTTATGGAGTTCAGAGAGCTTTTCACCAGCAACAGAATGCTCTACTGAAGTGGTTTTTCAACTTTGGCATCATCAAAAATCATCCTTCAGATCATAGATTCCTGAGCCTTACATCCAGAAATTCTGACACAATGTGTCTGGGGGCGAGGCCTGAGAAGTGGCATTTCCAACAAGTTCCACAGGAGGCTCATGCTGCTGGCCCAGGAACCACACTTTGAGATCCACCACTTTATTGATTGTAAATGAATCCTGTGCTTGAGGAGTTTCTCGACTCCCCAGTTAGTGGTATATACCACCAGGGAAACACAGGAAACAAGTCTCAGCACTTGTATTTAATCTTGGCCCTTCATTGTCAAGGCATTGTGTCACCAAAAAGGAGCTTCTTTCTGAGAAGTGGCTGGAGGCTAAATTAAAAATAAACATTTCCTCTCTGTTGAAAGGACATTGATAAAAGTTCATACAATGTGCTGTCTTGAAAGCACATTTAAAAGCTGGCAGCTTCTGCTCTCCCAAATCCTGAAGGAACACTCATGAAATGAAGGAACAGGACATGACATGTTGCTACTGTATTTAAGACATCTATCTCCCTCCAGCCCCAACTGACCTTTGGAAGATGAGACAGAGTGCAACTCTACAAAGGGTTGCATCTCTGGGGGAGTGGGAGAGCGACAGGGAACCGGGAGTCTGCCTGAGGCTTCAGTGTGGAAAAGAAAACTCTTCATTGCTAGGTTTCTTTAAAAAAGCAAAGTTCAGGATTATAACATTTAAAGCCTCACTTTGAAATTTCTGCTAGGGTCAGAATAAGTGACGGCTTAGCTTGGCAGGTTGTTCAAGTTTGAGTCTCTTCCATTCACCCCTAGTGATTTCCTTTCTTGATGGTTATGAGGAGAGTCAGGTAACAGGTCTCTCAGCTGCTCATTGAAGGGAAGGAGGGTGGAGCTGAGGGTTGGAAACTGGTTAAAAAATGCTAAGACTGCTCTGGGGAGCAGAGGTGATAAGACCTTGGATTACTTCCATCGTTAATGAATCTCTGCTCTTTTGCCCCTTAACTCTGGCCAATCATAACATGAACAGGGAAGAGTATGTGCCCTACAGCTCTTTGGAAAGTTCCCCAAAAGGCTGTCCTCAAATAAAGGAAAACAAGATATATTATATAACAAAAAACTAGTGCTCCAGCAAGCTTGAGTTTTCATTATTTCAACATGTGGGGGTGGTTTGAGCTAGTAAGGAGGAAATTAAGCTCAGATTCTGCCTCTGGCTGAGAAACTTGCCTGAAACCCAGAGATCCAAGCAACTGTGGGCATATAATCACCATCTGTTTTGGCTTTTAACTGTGTCCATCTCTAATCTTCCTGACTAGAACATAAGCAACTTGAGGGCAAGGTCAGAGGCTAATTCAACATTGTTGGGCATGCATGTTAGCAGTGAGTCTTGATCTTCATATTCCATCTCTGCTGCTCAGTCCCACTTCTGCTTCTCCAAATATCTTCAAGGTCCAACATAAAAGTTGTCTCTTTGTCTTGCCTTCATTTTTTTGCCAACTGGAAGTTACCTTTGCTTCCACCAAGCTCTGATTATCTTTACTGCTAATCACTTATTCACTAATATTATAGTTGTTCTAATACTTATCTTTTCCCTGCTTTAAAAGTGCTGGCTGTCTCCTGGATTTCTTATCTACAGGTACAGTTAACATAGTACCCTATATATAATGTGCTCACGTATGTATGTGTTGAATGAATAAATGAATGACTGAATTAAACGAAAGTCCAGAAATTTCTGATTCCATATTTCCCCTTTTGTGATCAAAATAATACTGTACTGCTGTACAATGCATTATTACAGCCAGCACTGAAATCCTTTGAGGACATGTGCCCTTAGATTGTCATATATGAAGCTTAAAACTTGCTTACATTCAGCCCGCTAGGGATTGAAACACATTTGTTTTTCATTTTGTAGGAAAAGCATGAAGTAAAAAGTTAGAATGGTTAGGTTTCTCTCTTCCAGAATACCTTCTGCCTAACAGGACTTGCAAGATGAAAACTTATATAACACATTTTTCAAATGTGCATTATATAAAGCACATTTTCTTAGAAAAGAAAGTGTGGAGGGGCTAACGTTTTGAACATTTATGTGTGTTTACATCCCTACATGGCCTTTGGATATAATTCAGCTTACATACAGTGAGCTTATGGAAAAGAGGCCTTTGCTTTTGTGATAACTCAGTCTGCCTGCACCAACGTCTATTCATCCCCCTTCCTTTTACGAACTGTCTGAACTGGCTACACTGGTTAACTGACAGATCCCTGGATCCGCCAGATCCCTTGATTCTCTGTGCCTCTCCCAGTGTCCCCTGCGTAGAAATCTCTCCTGCCTGGTACTGGCACACTGTTAGTGGCTGCAGGGTATGGGTGCCGCTCACAGACAGCAGTGGGAACCACTCTGAAGTTATGTCAAGTAGTGATTCTCTACCTTCTTGTCCAAGTACATCCTGTCTTAGCCAAGTGCTGCTGCAGGAAGTTTCCCTTGCTTATTCTCCTGCTTATTCCCTAGTGGAAAATAGAGATTATCTTGTATCTCTGCACTACTTGCAGGACTATCTGACCTAATTAAAAAAAAAAATCTCTTTAGATGCTACAAATGTATTCTAAGTTAGCACTGCATACTTCATTGAAGTAACCTTAAATCAGGCTTTGTCGTAACTAAGACCAGGACAGATTAAGGTTACAAGACAAATGATTGGCTATCATGTCCTCGATTCAAATACATACTATCTACATCCAGTGAAAGTGGCTATAAAATTAGGACAGAAAGGCAAGAAGTTCCCCAAACCCGACATTTGAAATTTTAAAATTGTTTTTGTGGTGAATGTTTCCTGATTATTTATCTCTCAAACAATGAATGTGAATGGAAGAGAATAATTTTTTCTCTGTATATGGTGCTGCCAGGATATTCAATAACCCCGCACAACACACATAATCACCATTTATAATCACTTCTAATATCTGTCCAATCAATGTGAGTAAATTATAGACTCTAGAATCATAACTGTTTGAATTGGAAAACATATTAGAGTGGCTTAATTTCCCCAACCCTTGCATTTGACATATGAGCTTTGGGTAGCCCAGAAAGAAAAATGTAACTTGTGTAAAATTCTATGTGCCCAAAAAACCTGAGTGCAGTCTAGGGATTAGGACTTCTGATCCTGCCTACGCTTTTTCCATGTCCGTGTCTGTAGGATTTAAGGATAATAGTTATATGGGGAGACGATGGTGCAGATTTTCACTAATTAGATGTTTGTACTCCTTGTAACCTGGAGAGCTATCATAGCCTGGCATGTAGATGACAGGGTGTGATGAGCAGGCGATATCCTTTTGGGGTACAAACCTTTCAGATATGACATAGTTTTGAGTAAATGGATATTAGTTGACAGAGGAAATATGAGTTTACTTTCCTTTTTTGGACCTACCTCTCACATCTGAAGGAGAATTGGTCAGATTTGATTTACTATGGAACTTACCACCATTCAGTTGCATCTCACTCACCGAGAATTTCCACAGGCCTCCGACGTCATTGCTCCTTTCATAGCAGGTGGGCTCCAGCCCCTCTTCCAGACAGCTCCTGATGGACGCCAAGCCACTGACACCAGCCCCGATGATGGCCACTCTCTTCCCCATGGCTACCTGTAGGAGAGTCTGGGGAGAACTTCTTCAGAAAGTTCCCTGAATACTTGGGATTTTCAGTAGAAATAACCAGTTGAGGCTTAGGTATCAGGATCTTCACCTTAATGCAAGAAGACATAGACACATGTTAGTAGCTATGCTAGTTATTTCTATCACTTCTGTTCAAGTAAGTTACTACATCTGGTTTCTTCTGATTATGCTATTATTCTAGATGCTAAAGTAGCAGTAATAAATCTAGAGTGGGAAGGACCTTGAAGATCATTAATCCAATGCTCTCTATCATAAAGGAGGCTATTATCACTCCAGTATTAGAAATTGCTTCTTCAAGGGCTCAGAGCAAACTAGAAAGTGTCAACATTAGAACTCAAGTCTTCTGCAGAAAGCCATTATATGAAATCACCCCCACTCACTTTGAATATTTGGCTCTAAGGGTCTTACTCTTAATCAATCACGTTCCCAAGGAACCAGAAGTTCTCCAAATGTAGAGGAGAATGGCTTTTAATAGTCTTTGATATAAAAATTAGGGAGAGGGGAGGAGTTATAATTCTTAAAGTAAAAATACCTTTTTTTTTTTTTTGGTTTTGTTTTGCATTTTTCATGTTGTAGAACCCTGGTAAAACCTGGAAAAGAAAGACTGAATGTGGTAAGGATAAGTGAACAGGGGAGGGGCTGGGGGAACAGAGGGGGAAAAAAGGAGTGGGAAAGGGCAAGAATTGGCTCTCTGGTCCTGGTTTTCAGAAAATAAAACAGTAACTGATATAGTCATTGAAGCTGTAAGGTGAGACTCCTGAGAGATTAAAGGAACAGTGATTCTTTTATTTATTTTTGCTTTAGAACTATAGACTATATAAACAAAAGCTATGCACCTGGGCCACAGTGAAAGGTTTTGTTGTGCCAACAGTGAATAAAAATAGCTCATTTTTGTAAAAAACTTAGCAGTTTCCTGATTTGAGTAGCTGATAAATTTTGAGGTGATCAGTTTGTAGAACTAGTTGTTAGGGTCTGAGAACTCGATTACTGTGAAAGACAGAGCATCATGCAAGAATGCAATTCTCAAAGTAGAGTTTATTGGGCTGGCTAGCCAGGGTCAAGCCGTTCCCTGCCGAACACGCAGGATTCAGGCAAGACCTCGACCAAAGGAAAGTCAGGGAATATATTGGCCTTGTTGGCCGTTACATACGTCAGAGCCCGCACAAATTTAACTTAGCAAATGGATTCAAAGATTAACAGACATCACAGCCTGGGTCACAGTTCAACCACCCAGTGACAGGTTTCCAGGTATAGATGTCCCATTTCCTGGTGCCTCAGATCCAATCAGCCTGGGCCACACCATTCCCATTAGCCAATCAATTTTAAATGTACATTGTCCCTCTTCAACCTATCCTGCATTCCGGGGGGTGGGGGGTGGGTGCTTGCTTGGGTTAGTCTAGTTTTGCTCAGTCCTGTGTTACTTCCTCCATTCCTTCACAGTAAACTCAAAGGACAGAATGTGAAGACAATGATATTTGTCTCTGGTTTCCTCCAAATTCTATACTCATCTTTCCTGCTTCTAGATACCACCATCTGTCCCTTTCTTCACCTTCCTGAGTGTTTGCCAAATGTCAGGCACTATAGTAATCCCTGGGGGTCTGAAGATGAAAAGACAATGCTTTTCACTGGTGGATAGAGTCTAACGGGGAAAGAGAAATGACCAGTGTCATCATGGGAGTATATATAGTTCAAGGCAGTACCAGCACGCAGGCAGGAACATCTGAGTCTCTCTGGAGAAGCGTGAGTGGAAATGAGAAGAGACATGAGTCTCCAAAGAAGAATAGATACTTTCCAGGTAGACAGTGAACAAGGCACAACTATCAGGTGGAGAGAAAAATATATTGAGTTACATAGAGAAGAAAACATGATTGAGTCAACTACGATTAGTTCAGTTTTGTTGAATCGTAAGGTGACAGGAGTAACAGAAGATGCATTAGACATTCAGGACACAGATTATTGAAGTGTCACATTCAAGAATTTGGATGCCATTCTCTAGGTTATGGTTCTTCCTTCAAGAATTTTGAACCAGGAATCAACACGATCAGAAAAGATTCACCAGGAAGCTGGAGTGGACAGTGACTTCAGTTGAGGATACCAATCCCAGGAGGTTAGGTTATTTTAATTGTCTGTACCAAAGATGCTGAAGACCTAAATTTGACACAAGCTAAGCACCCTCTATTGTCAGACATATTCCGGATAGAGGGGAAATGCCCTGAAAAATCAGAATTTCCATGCTAACTCATTTTATGACCCCCCTTTTTCTGTATAATCAAAATATTCCAAGCAAACATAAGTTTTCTACTCGACTGCTTCAGTCTCATAAGGTGCTGCCTGTCTCAGGTGACCAAGCACTGCCTCAGGATGGGAAAATCCTCTTGGAATCAAAAATATTACAACTGGCTGATTAATAAAAACAATTGTAACAAAATTAATATTGTAAGACAAGGCAGTGCCCAGATGAGAACCCAAATCCCATTTCTCTACTATCACATATAATCCTTCTAAAGAAGTGCTTAACTTTTCTATTGTTCAGTTTGCAAATAAGGAACTTCACCTAAATCCTCTATTCAGCTTTTTTTTTTTTCTATTCAGCTTTGAGTAACCTTACAGTATCTCTTTGTGATTGACTTGCAAAAGAATCATTCCCCCTAGCCCACAACCTTGCTCTATCCTTTACATCTCTACCCTAATCCTTGACTTTACCCTCTAAGATGTCTTAGTAAAAAATCAGGGTCAATATGACCCCAAACTGCTCTCAGAAAAAAGATTGTCATCTCAGCCCCATTTACATGTTCATTGCTTGCCTAAAGTGTATAAAATAAACTTCTGCTGAAGGCAGAATGGGAAGATTTGCACCCAACTCTGACTCCCGTGTCTTCCTCCTGCCTGCTCCCTTTTCCCCCCTTTTCCTCTTTTAGGAATCTCTGCTCACCGACACCGCTCCCACCTTGAAACCCTGCCTGTTCTACCCCCCAATAATCCGTGAGCAGGGAACAAAGAGTCTCTGACATAAATTAGAACAGTGTCAGGGATTGGAAGATGGACATGAGAAATATTTTGGAAGTAGATGTTTGGGGATTATAGATTGGATGTCTCAAAGGAGATTCTTCCCTTTTTAAGCATTGATGTCACTGAGTGCATATCATTCAGTGGTTAATACAGGAAGCAGAGACCATTCTATTTCATAATGCAAGGAATATGATAGCGGGATTTAGGCCTACACTTACAAGGGGCGGTAGGGCTGCAAGTGCAGACTCCAAGGTCTGCCACACCTTTGTAAAGTGACACGACTAGAACTACCATTATAGTGGGCAGTGAACTACAGCAGCCACCCAAGATGTTCTTGAAGAGTGGGGCCTGGAATTTGTGTGATGTAAACACACTGGTTGGCATATGTTTTCAGATGCAGAGTTGAAGAAACCCGGCTTCTGCTTCCCTTTTGCCTTTTAAACCTGGATGGGTATCTCACAGGCAAAATATAAATTGTAACCAAGATCTAACTGCAAGAGAATGGAAAATTTGGCCTTCTACTCTTTCCTGTGTGGGAGGGAGCTCTGAGGAGGAGGGGTGACACGCCAGGTGTCATTCTCAGAAGACCATAACACATTTAATCCTTCTTTAATCATAATAAAACAAATTCTCAGTTATTTATCCTTTGGTTGTATATTCTGTGATAATTTTTGCAGAACTCTAGATCTTTCCTCTGCACAATAAGGATATTGAACTAGTGAATTAATAACATTTTGTAAATCTCTTAATTTAGGAATTAAGTATTTCTTTCCAATAAGCCAAAGACAATACAAATGCTGTTAACTGGTTCGGAACTGCCTTCCTTATTCTGTGTCTTTCCATGATCAAACAGTTGATTTAACTGCCAAGAGCCACTTGTTAAATTGAAAGTTTCTGTTGATGTAACCGAGAGGATAATAAAACCAAAAAAGTCAGGCTTTAGAGAGAATCTTTAAAGTGGATTTCTTTGGAAAGAGCTGCTGGTTGCTGTGCTGTTTCCACGAAAGAAGTGGGATCATAGGTCTGCTTCTCTCTGCAAGTCTATGAGGGAGGACTCAATAGAGGGCAGGTAGGGAGTTTGGAGAGTAAATAGGGGACTCAGTGGACCTTTGATGTGATTTGGTCAGTTAACTATAAAGAGAATTGCTTCTGTCTGGGTTTGAACTGAATTCCCAGAATTTGTTGAGACAGCATGTATAAAAGAATTCTTAGAACCAAGAAAGAGTTAATATGGAGTTAAATTGGATCCTTTCCAATAGGGTTGCCTAGAGGCACATTGAGGTTCAATTTAAAGAAATGTTGTTATTTTAGTACTACAGGAAAGATAGATCCAAGGCAAAGAAATGAAAAAAAAAAAAATGACATCATGAATTCAAGAGGAAGTACAGCAGCTCAGTTACTAGGATGCAGGATGAATAATGTGTACATACACACACACAAAGTTACGGGAAGATCTAATAGAGTCTAATATCACAGCAGAATTGTTTATGACCAATATCCTGTATTTCGTAAATAATAACATTTTTCACAAGGAAAAAAAAATGAACTGTTGCTGAGGAATTATTTGCCAGAATTTGCTCTATTTTTGTGGGTCAAAGAAACAATTGGGGGGAAGCCATTATTATTTTGGGAGGCCTCTGAAGAATAAGCTAAAGCATTCATATAAATAAGAATTTGTTTTAAACTGTTACAGACTTCAGGTCTCCATTCCTCAAATTCCATAGTTGGTTCATTGCTTGAATGTCAAACAGAACAGGAGGGGTTTGAAGGGGCTGCCCATCATTTGGTTTCCTTGGGCAGCAGACAAAGGTTTTTGCAGAGGAAGAAAGAATTTACTGTGGACTTTGTAGAAGCCGTGGGAAGCACTGGTTGCCTGGAAGCAAGTTCATTACTGCAGAATATGTGAAATTTAGGGAGATTTTCCAGACCACGACCACTTTTTATTTCTGTATTTG